CATTGGGGTACATGTGCCCCTTTGTTTATTTTTTAATTTTTTAAATATTTTATTCATTTTTGAGAGAGAAAGACATAGAGTACAAGTGGGGGTGGAGCAGGGAGAGAGAGGGAGACACAGAATCTAAAGCAGGTTCCAGGCTCTGAGCTGTCAACACAGAGCTTGAGGTGGGGCTCGAACCCACCAACTATGAGATCATGACCTGAGCCAAAGTCAGATGCTTAACTGACTGAGCCACCCAGGCTCCCCTGAATGTGACCCTTTGAATCAGCATTTTTGTATCCTTTGGATAAATACCTAGCAGTGCAGTTGCGGTCGTCGGGTAGCTCTGTTCTCAATAAAAGGAATCTCCATAGTTATTTCCAGAATGGCTGCACCAGTTTGCATTCCCACCAGCAGTGTAAAAGTGTTCCCCTTTTCTCACATCCTCACCAACATCTGTTGTTTCCTGAGCTGTTAATTTTACCCATTCTGACAGGTGTGAGGTTGTATTTCATTGTGGTTTGATTTGTATTTCCCTAATAATGAGTGACGTTGAGCATCTTTTCATGTGTCTATTGGCCATCTGGATATCTTCTTTGGAAAAGTGTCTGTTCTTGTCTTTTGCCCATTTCTTCACTGGATTTTTTGGTTTTTGGGTGTTGAGTTTGATAAGTTCTTTATAGATTTTTTATACTAACCCTTTATCTGATGTGTCATTTGCCAATAATCTTCTCTCATTCTGTCAGGTGCCTTTTAGTTTTGTTGATTGTTTCCTTCTCTGTGCAGCTTTTTATCTTGATGATAGTTCATTTTTGCTTTTGTTTCCCCTACCTTGGGGAAATAAGAATTTTCTAATAAGAATTTTCTGTGGTCAAGGTCAAAGAGGTTGTTGCCTGTTTTCTCCTCTAGGGTTTCATTGGCTTCCTGTCTTACATTAGGTCTTTCATCCATTTTAAGTTTATTTTTGTATATGGTGTAAGAAAGTGGTCCAGGTTCATTCTTCTGCATGTTGCTGTCCAGTTTTCCCAACATTATGTGCTAAAAAGACTGTCTTTTTTATTGAAGCCTACTTTTTCTGTTGTGTTAATTTATTTAATCTTTATTTTTCATTCATTCTTGGTCTTGTATAATTTTTTCTAGTCTCTTGGATTATAAACACTTATTTTTGATCTTTCTTATTTGCATTTAAGGCCAAGAATTAATCTCTGAATAATATTTTAGCTTTTATCATGGATTTTTGGAATTTATTGTTCTTATTGTCTAACATTTAGCTTATAATTTCACATGTGATTTAATTTTTAATCTAAGATATCATTGGAATGCCTTTAAATTCGCATTTGGATAGATTTTATAATTATTATTATATGTTTTATTTTAAAATTGATTGCATATTTGTCAGTGAATGTGACTTATTTAAGTATATCTCTAGGATACTGAGTATTTACCCAAAGAGAAAAAAATAATTCAAAAAGATATACGCACCCCTGTGTTTGCAGAATTATTTACAATAGCTGAGATATGGAGCCAACCCAAGTGTTTATTAATAGCTGAATGGATAAAGAAGATGCAGCATATATGTATACAATGGAATGTTACTCTGCCATAAAGAAGAATGAGATCTTGCCATTTGCAACAACATGGGTAGGCCTATAGGATATAATGCTAAGTGAAATAAGTCAGACCGAGAAAGACAGATACCATATGATTTCAGTCATCTGTGGAATTTTAGAAACAAAACAAATGAACAAAATAAAAAAAGAGAGACAAAAAACCAGACTCTTAAGTACAGAAAACAAACTGGGGTTGCAGAGGGGAGGTGCAGGGGGATGAGTGAAATAGATAAAGGGGATGAAGAGTACACTTAACTTCAACAAGGACTGAGAAATGTATACAAGTATTGAATCATTATATTGGACACCTAAAACCAATATAACACTGTATGTTAATTACACTTCAATCTCAAAAAAAAAAAGAGTAGTTCTGGAGAATTTAGTAAGATGTAGATTTATCAGTTCTGATCTCAGGTGTAGAAGAGGAAGAAGGGGAACCTTATTACCTGTATTGATTCAAGGCAACTTGTATACAAAGAGTTATAACACACATACTCAAACCTTGAGAAAAAAGGAAACAGCCAGTCTGGAAGGTCAGAAACAGCTCCTGTAAGTAATGAACATGGAAAATGTTTGGTATGGTGTTTCTGTAATGTGAAGGAAATATCATATAGTCAAAGTCTAGTTTTGAAAGAACTCCAGCGGTAGTGCCAACCTTTCACAGGTTGGAATTGAAAAATCATTATCCCCCATAAGTTATACTCTCCAATCCCAGTGCCGCATGATTTGGACAGCAGAGCAAGCTTCACTGGCTGGAAAATGTTGCTTTTCCTTACCATTGAAGCCCAGCCTCTTGTGGTCAGGCACATAGGGAAGTGGTAGGATCTGTTATCGACAAGCAGAGGAAGTGTGTTTTAAATAGGAATGGCATTAACATTTGAAATATATTAAAATAACTAGTAAAGATTTAAAAACGATGCTAGTGTTAGTGTGTTTAATGGGTGAATGGATGTTTTAAAACTATAAATACAGAGCACCTAGCCTTTTCACTCAACCTACTTCAGAACTCAAGGTCCATTCACTGGCAGATTTATCTTCCTTTTTCATTCTTACCATGTCATTCCCCTGCTTTAACATGGGGAATTGTGTTAAATGTTCTTTTGTTTGTTCTGTTCTGTTTTGGTTTAACCCTTATGAGAGTCTCAGCTCCTCTGCCTGGCTTTCTGAGCCTTCCATAATTGTAGTTGACTGTCTTGAGTAATTTATTTCTCAGGTTTTTATAATACCTTGCCTCAACTCCTGGTAAACCAGGCTCTCCTGGTTGGTAGCTGAAATGTTTCAGGTATTTCCATACCTGAACTTTCTAACTTTATTTCAGGTCTGAATGCCTGTGCCAGCCTCCTCTGGCTCTGTAAGTCCTCTCCATCAAGCTTTGAATTCCAGTTCCAGTTTACCCACCTCTGGGTGAAACCCTTCCAGGCTGCACCTCTTCCTTCTCCATTACCCTCCAGTAAACACACAGTTGTGTTGTAGAAGAAATTAGCTCTTAACAGCGGGTTGACCGTTTTTCAATAATGTTCCATAAATGTTACTCTCTACTCCTCGTTATGAATAGCTCAAGAGCAGGGATCACAGTTTAAACTTCTGCCTCCCCCAAGATAGTCCCAGAATAGTTTACATTACAAAGGGCATGCATGCCTTCAGTCCAGTAGGTTGGCTATAGGCCAAGTAAACCAACTCAGCAGGTGGACACTTGTCCACTTCACAGATTAAGAAGTTGGCATCTACTAGGGTCTAAACATCCCAAACCATCAGTTTCAGACTGTAAATAAATGCCTCTCCATTTTCAAGACTGTTGTCTACCATAGGTGAGTCATTTAAAAGTTTGAGAAAGTTTTTTTTTTTTTGAAAACTTCAGAAGACCACTGAAAAGTGGTCCATATCATTTTAAGGATTTTAGTGTACAGATTGGTTTTTAGAGCCACCAGAAATCTGATTGGCAGTAAATTGTGTGGCTTTAGACCTTTTTATCTTTTCATTCTCCTACCAGTTCCAGTAATTGGGCATCCATGTTTTAATAATTGGCCATGTCTTTACATGATTTTTACACAATTACAAGTGTGTAATCTCCTTTGAAATAAAATAGGAAAAAGAACACACAAGGCTCAAAAATTGAGACTTTCCTTGTGTAATTTGTAGCACATGATAAAGGATCTTTCATGAAGCAGGTGTTCAGTAATTGCTAAATAAATATGAGAATAAAAGAAATAACATCAGGCTCTGTGGAAAAAATGAACAGACTTTATACTGAAAAGATTGCTGATTGAATAGCAGATTTTCATCGTCACACACATTCATAGATAATAACCCCCACATTCAAATCTATATTGGCAGAAATGATAGATTTGTGTGTAATTTTTTTTTTACTAGTACCCTTCCAGACTTGAGCAATTGACTTGCTTTACAAAGATACTCAACTTCTGACAATATTGCAGGGGAGGGCAATGCTTTGGCAGGATCTCAGTGAAGAAACTAGCAAATTAGAAGCTGGACTAGAAGAGCATACTTAGGCTTTTGGTAGTTATTATCACTCTTTATTTTGTCATGAAGGAATTAATATGTTAATCATCAACAGTAGCCAACCCCCATATGGTGCTCAGTGTGTATCAGATATTATTTGATGTAATTTATACAGGACAAGTCATGTGAAATTCATAATAACTCTTTGAATATTCTACCAACAGAGAACCTAAGTGACTTGCTCAAGGTCGCACAACAAGTGGGGGAGCCTGGATTAGAATTCCAGCAGTGTGGCCCTAGGGTCCTTTCCATTAGCCATGTAGCTACGTCATCACCTGGAATTCTTTTTTTAAGTTTATTTATTTATTTTGAGAGAGAGAGAGAGAGAGAAAGAGTATGCATGCAAGTGGGGAAGGGGCAGAGAGAGAGAAGGGGAGAGAGAGAATCCCAGGCAGGCTCCACACTGCCACGCTGTCAGTGTGGAGCCCTATGCAGGGCTCGAACTTATGAACCGTAAGATCATGACCTAAGCCTAATTCAGATGCTTCACTGACTGAGCTGTCTAGGTGCCCCCATCACCTGGAATTTAAGCCTAAAATGTGTGGCTACTGCACCAAAAATAACAAATACTGTAATTGTCAAACTGTGTGACATGAAGCATTGTAATTTCTACATCTTAGGAAGGGTATGAACAGCAAATTCTCCAGAGCTAAGAAGACACAGTTATTTTGACCTTGACACAGTTCTCCTTTGAGAAGCCTGTGTGAGCTGTATGGCTCTGGATTGAACAAAGGAGCAGAAAATCAGGTGCAGGCCCTGTATGAAATCAAGAATTGCTTGGTGTGAAAAGAACTTTTGTAAACTGCAGAACATAAATCAGATTGACATGTGAGGCAGTCCGTACTTACATGATATAATGTCTTGTGTTCATCTTCCCTTGTTTCACAGTCTATACTTGAGACCATTCCAGCTCTACCAGTTCATTCCAATGGATCTCCAGACCCTGGACAGTCAGTTCAGAATGCAGTGAGTGGTGAGCGACACCTCCTTCTCTATTGAACTTAGGCTGTGTCTTCTTGCTTTTGTTCTGGCTCGCAGCACAGTTACCAGTAACGTTATCAAGGCAGAGTGTGTGTTTTTCTTCCCATTTTGATTCTGTCACTCTAGCACTCACTCCCTGCCAGCTCCAAACACCCCATTCTGTCACACCAGACAAAATTAATTGAGCCAAATTGGAAGCAGAATCTTTTTCTCCTTCACCACCATCACATCATTTAGAAAGTACTCACTTGGATAGTGTCTTTGATTTGAGGTCTCTTTCACAAGTAATCTGGATCTGCTTAATAGTTACAAGTGGTCCAGGAAGTAGGAAGTAGGACACTTCCAGAAATCTGTACTTACGCTCAAGTGTAAGCAGCACCAGAGAAGCTTATAACATACGAGGTTACAGGCTTAGCTTTTGGGCATGCTCCAGGGGCTCAGTATGAAATCCGAAATCCTCCTTATAGGAAGTAGGCTCCTTCAAGACCCTACTCTGGTGAGTCCTTGAACCTTTCCTTAAATATGTGCCTCTTCTTATATACAACAGAGCTTCATACTTTCAGCATTAACTTCTAAATTCAAATGAGTAGGGGTGATGAAAATGTTCTGATGTTTGTTATTCAGTTCAAATTACACCTCTAAGAGATAAAAGTCTACTGGGGGTGGTTTGTTGGTTTGGAGAACTGTAATCACCACTCTCCAAAAAAATCTATGTATAGAGCTATAAGAAGTTAGAGTATTATTTAACATTTCATCTTCTTCCACTTTAAATGCAAGCCTCTGTATGAGGAGTGAACATCAAAACTCCCCCTTTGCCATTTCCTAAGTTTTTACTGCATCCATTTATTGTATTTTTAATCAAAAATACTAATACTAATCAGTATTTCAGTTCAGAACTTTACAAACTGTTGATTTGCAAATTTTCCCATTTAGGTTTTAATATAAGATTCTTTAGGTCTTCTCTTATTTCTTTTCATTGTTGTTCCTTTTGTTCTATTTGGTTGTCCTTTGGTCACTGTCTATAGAAGAGGGTAGAAAAGATGAGTTCTCTTTTTTGTAATCAAATTGGTCTTTCATTGCATGTGAACAATTTTTCCAAGCAATGAAAAAAAAAATGGCAAGCCAAAATCTTAGTCAGACATTAGAGTTTAGGGTTACTCAGATGATTTCTGGATTCACTTGTTTTTGGTCAAGGAATCTATTGTCTCACATTCCAAACTACCTCAAGGAAAATATTTATGTGGGACATTATACCCATTGGGCTGTTTCTTAATAAACAGCACACAAGGTCAGGTAACCAAATCAAATCCTAAGAATTTGGATGAATTTACCAGAACAAACCTAGCAGTGAAGTCCAAATTTAATTTGAACACATCTTAGGAGACAAAAATCCCACAGTTTGGGAAAAACAATAAGAGAAATGAATTTAGGCAGGAAGTGTAGTGGGGTCTCTGCCCTTCCTCCTTCTGCCTTAAGCTTCTGCTTCCCCAGTAGCGGCAACATTGGGTTTAGGTGGACTTAACTGTAATATCATGGTAACATAGATCTACCTCATTTGTGGGCTTTCCTCTAGTAATCCTCTAGTGCCTTTCATGAGATGTAATCTCATGATTTAATCTTATAAAAACATCAGATGAAATAGAAAGTTTGTTTGGATAATGATTATAGAAATTCATTCATATGGAAATCTGATGACCCCACATTATCCTTTAACTGAAATCCTCTGAGTGAGTCTGATGCTTTCTTGGATGTAAACATTCTGACATGACTATAAGTTAACTTATAAATATTTTGTACTTACTTTACAGGAAATGATTGTAATTGATTAAGTGACTTATAAAATATTATGCATCTTTTTTTTTAGATGATGTTTATCTGGAAAAGAACATTCCACCAGAAACTGAAGAGCTGTCCTTCGAAGTATCTTATTCAGAAATGGTTACAGAGATTCCAAAAAGAAACAAATTTAAGAAGTCCGAATTTAAGAAAGAGGACTTCGCCTTAACTGTATGTAAAGCCTTTCATGATTATTCCAGTAACTTCCTGTAACTTTTCCATGGGACACACTAGTATTTAAAACAAAACAAAACCCACATCTGTGTGTAGAGGAAAGGTCAGGCATCGGTGTTGCATAACACCAGGGCACCATTTATTGTGCAGTGCACAGCCTGCCTAACAGGACTGGGTTGAGGAAGAGTTGTGAGGGTATACGCTTGAATACTGTTTTATAGAAGAAATAGGATTTCCTGGCTTGTGTGCTTTCATGCACTTTATATCCTTACTTTACTTATAGGTTAGTGCAGATTCTAACTGTATACCTAGTTGTGCCTCTAGAAGCCACATATCAGAAGGGGGTACTGCAAAGTCACAGTCATTACAATAAGAAGTGAGCACTTAATGGGACAGGTACTAAAAATTCATCAAATATAGACTCAAGAGTTTATATTATTATTATGGAATAGGCAAGTAGAGCTATAGACTTCATTATCCTGAAAGCCTCAGTATGTATGTATATATATCTCCAGGATATTCTCTCTTAAAAGCCCACTATAAGAAATATGTTACATTGATCTATTGGCTACTCGATAAATGCATTTGTGAAGCATTCATGATGTAGAGCCCTGAATATTCTATGCTGATCAGAGCTGGAGGCATGATGAGCAGGGCTCAGGCAGTTTCATGGCTAAAGGAATGGATCATATAAAAACTGGCAGAGTCTTTGCCTAGGTAGCCTAGACCGTTCCCAGACAACCTCCCCATGATGGAGGGGAGCAGGAGGGCAGAGCAAGAACTGTAAGACTCACTGAGTGCCTTCTACCAGCTTGATGCTGCATTAGGTATCCTCTTGTAATCACCCTGTGCCTGCTCCCACTTTACAGCTGAGAAAACTGAGGCCCATGGGGTCCTGGGTGGCCCATGGGATGATTAAGTGTCTGACTTCAGCTCAGGTCATGATCTCACAGTCCATGAGTTCAAGCCCTGTGTCGAGCTCTGTGCTGACAGCTCAGAGATGAAAAAATGAAATGACAGCTCAGAAATGAAAAAAACATTAAAAAAGAAAAAAAGAAAACTGAGGCCCAAAGAAGTTAAGAAATATATCCAAAGCCCGTCAACAAATAGGAGGTAGAAACAGGATTTAAACCTCCATGTGTCAAACTCCAAAGCCCCTCCTGGTCCCTAAGCAGTTTCCATGTTGGTAGGGCATAAGAGTATTCTGGGGCAAAAAGGAAATCCAGTGAGACTCTGGTTTCAGGGGCATCCCTCCCAATCTTTAGGGAGAGTCATCCAAGAGAGGATGCTAGTCCCCAGTTCCCTCATCCAGGCTGTCTGTTGCCTTCTGAGATTTGGGTCATCTGGGGTGCAGGTCAGTCTCTGATGAAGAACTTTGCGTGGGATTTAGCAAGTGGTAATTACTCCATGAATAATTGCAGTTCTTGTCTCTATTGTTGTTGCTGTATATTACCGTTATGTGGGGCCTTGGTCTCAGAAAGAAGGTAAAACAGCTCAGCTTTTATAGGACAAGGTTGCCCCAAACCACATTCTGCATTTTATTGTTTTAATTTTAAAATACTTGAGGTTCCACAGAACAGTTGTTGACTGAATGAACGAATGAATGAATGAGTGGCTGGTTTAAAAACCTCAAGAAAGCTCTAATTGAGGGAGCCCCTATGGAGAACGTACAAAGATTTGTAATTGAAATAACTGGGATTTTTCTACTTTAGCATTTGTTTCAATAGCAGGTTTTTTGAGAACAAAGCATACTTGTGGTTATTATAGGAGAACAATCTCTCCTTTAAAAGGTCTTACTTGTTAGTCTTCACAAGTATTTTTGGATTGTCAAAGACTTTTTGTTTTCATTTTGCTGTATTTTGTTTCCTATTGTGGAAATAGAGAATACAGCAATATCATTGTCTCAAAACTTATAGGAGGATTATTTGGCATTTTCTATGTACTTTTCCTTTTTAGGAGTATTTGGAGTCCTCTCCATTTGATTTTCAAGGTAGAGTAACTGCTGTCTCAGCAGGCATGTGCAGTGAGATTCAGTGGGGAGATTCGTTCGTCTTTTAGAGTTTGTAGAAGAAAACAGATTGTATCTGATGAAAGGACTGATGGTCCCCCACCCCCAAAAAGATACATCAAAAGCTCTTCTGGGAGCACTTAGCTGTTGTGCCTTATATTCCTGGGTCACATGTGCCCGTGGTAGGTACATTCCACATGGTGCCTGGGACATCAGTTGACAACAGAGGATGTCTCTTCGAAGAAACAAGTTTTCACGGTTGTGATGATAATGTTGTAGTACACTTCAGTCCACTGTTTTGTTCCTAATGTAGCACAAGAGCGTTCTGCAAATGTTCTAAAAACCATTCATAATCTTTCTATGACACAGCTTGCTCCTCACAGATTTCTTACAAGCAGCATGTTTTGCTATACAGATTTAGGATGCCCAGGTGACATTTAAATGAAGGGATGATACTTTTCCTTTGCCATAAAAAAATAAATATCCTCCATATGTATTGTAGAAATTTATTGTCCAGAAAACCAGATTCGGTCTAACTGAAGCAGGAGACCTGTCTTCTGAAGATATGAAGAAGATCCGCCATCTGTCTCTGATTGAACTGACTGCCTTTTTTGATGCCTTTGGAATCCAGCTGAAAAGAAACAAAACTGAGAGAGTAAAAGGACGAGGTAGTTAAGACAGGTTTCTTCTGATTTTAACTCTTTGGCGCACTGGAATAAGCGCTTTTCTGATTCTTTTTTCTTTCTTTATTGCCCATTTTACAATGAAGACACTGGGATTTTTGGAGTTCCGCTCACAGTCCTATTGGACAATGACCGAAAGAAGGATCCTGGAGTGAAGGTTCCCCTGGTGTTGCAAAAAGTGAGTGGAATGTAAATGAATGGGGAAAGGATAGAGCCTCATGCTGGCAGCTTGGTATCTGGAAACCCGCTGATGAGTTTTCTTTTAGATTTAGAGACACTAAAGCCCTCTTAAGCCTCAGGCCCTTGGTGATTTTCAGCTTTGCTTATTCATCCCCATAACATCCCCACAGCACTGGGGCCACTTTGCCTTGCTGTGACTTGTGGAGCCTGTGACACTGTCTGACCTTAAAGCATCAGGTGATGGACACAGATACTCTGTACATGGCTTCCTTCTGTTATGTTTTCTCCAGTAGTTTCTAAAGGTTACTTGTCTGTGTTATATGTTAGTATTTGATTATTCTCTCTAGAATATAAGGTGACCATTAATTATCAGCTATTACATTGACTAATTATACAAGTATTTGCTGAGCTATCTCACAGGATGGCTGTTTTTAAATATGTATGTGTAATCATTTAAATGAATTCACCAAACAAGGTTTAATAAAGCCTAAAAATCAGCTTTTCTGGTGGTTTTTCAGGTATCACTAGGGAGATAGGGTATATTTAGACAAAGAAGAAGTTTGGTGGAAGGGAGTTTTGAAAAATTATATTATCTGAACTGTCATCTGCCAATATCTCTGAGACCATGATTGCTCAATACCTGATTTAAGTCATGTGTTTTTTGTTGTTTTTTTTTTTCAACGTTTTTTTATTTATTTTTGGGACAGAGAGAGACAGAGCATGAACGGGGGAGGGGCAGAGAGAGAGGGAGACACAGAATCGGAAACAGGCTCCAGGCTCTGAGCTATCAGCCCAGAGCCTGACGCGGGGCTCGAACTCACAGACCGCGAGATCGTGACCTGGCTGAAGTCGGACGCTTAACCGACTGCGCCACCCAGGCGCCCCAAGTCATGTGTTTTATAGCCAACAATTTACTTGGGTTTACCCAAGTGTGCATTTATTCAACAGTGACATCCAGTGGCACATTTAAAATTCCAAGCCCTAAACACAAATCTTGTTGCATTTTAAATTGAGTTTTTAAGTAATATAGGAAAATAATTGACTGCAGAAGCATAACACTTATCTTATTCACCATAACAATGCTATGTCCGTTTATTGTGTTCTCTCTGAACTTTGTTGCCAGTGCCTCAGATTGAGCTACTCCTGAAGTCAGGTGATTGATTGATTGATTGCTGCTGATGAAGACAGGGGATGATGATGAGAGAGAGCTAAAGGGTGCTGGTGATATGCCAGTGTGCACGGGGGCATCTGTAGGGCACCTCTCCTGCGTGGGTACCATTCATATCCTAGCGTGGGGAGTCAGCAGCGAGCAGCCAGAGGGGACTGTGTTTTCTACTGCTGAGGCCACCAAGGCACAAAAGGATAAGCTACCTTGCCCTTGAACACACAGCCAGCAAGGAGGAAGGGTCAGAGGGAGCACAGCGTACACCCACAGCCAAAGTCCATGGTGACACTAAGATTTTCTTTCCTTCCTCGAAATAGAATTATGACTTCTGTCTTCTGTGTAAAGGACAGAGTTTGAAAACAATACGTAAAAAGTCTAAGACTGAGAAGATTCAACACATGAATTTATATTATTGTGTAGATGCAAAAACCTAGCACAGAACTTAGCAAATGGAAGGTGCACAATAAATGCTAGTTCAACTCAGTCTGGATTTATACCATGTTAGCAACTCAATAAATGTTAGCTATTACTCCCCCTGTGGTCAGGAGTTCCTCATTGAAGACAGCTAGAGGTATTATTCGTCTACTCCTATGGGAGAGTCTTTTTTTATGGACATATTTCTTTGGCCTAAATATCCATTTCTCTCCATACCCTACAAGAACTACCTTAGTTCCAGGCACCATTATTTCTTGAAAGGAAAATAGCAGAGACTCTGGGTCCTCCTGTGTTGTGTGAATAGGGGCAAGTCCTTTACCCTTTCCTTGCCTCAGTCTCCTCAGCAGTTGGTTGGGGGTATGGTTAGCACCTGCCTTATAGGATCAGTGTGAGGATTACATGAGTTAATAGATGCAAAGTTCTGAGAATGGAGTATCTGACACAGTAAGTGCACCATAAACATTAGGTATTATTATTACTATAACAGCATCATCATCATCATCGCCATGGGAACTCATGAGAGGTATAAACCTTTACAGTTTCTACCTCCTTGGTCATACTTCTAGGATTCCTGTAGTCTCTCAGCTAAACTTGTTGCATCTGATAATAGCAAATTTAGAATCTTTCCTATTGGTCCATCTGCAGAAAGAGATAGAGTAGTCAGATCTTAAAGTGGGCAAGTGGCCACCTACTTTAGTGGTCAAGAGCCATTACTTTTGAAGGTGGTCTTAGGAAACCCCTAGGAGGTTCTCAGTCTCCACTTCATTTGTAAATTGGAGGCTACTGTTGATTTCAGAGGCAGTTGTAAACATTGAACAAAACATTCAAGTACCAGTCACATATATATGCATGGTAATTTATTGATTGTTGTCACCATCATTATTATTTCAGATGTTTATAATTATATGGAGGTATTTATTTTTATAACATATCATTGCTTTCTAGTTTTTTGAGAAAGTTGAGGAATCAGGCCTGGAATCTGAAGGAATTTTTCGACTTTCTGGATGTACCGCCAAAGTCAAGGTACTGAACGTTTTCTCTCTTTCTATTTGGAGATCTAAGCCAGCTAGACCTGGTTCACATAGGCCCCAGGTTGCAAGTCCTCTGTTGTTGTTGTAGCTGTGTTGTTGTTGATAGGACCACTTGATCCTCATGTTCCTGGATACCTATGATTAAATGTTTTATATCCTTTTAAATTAAAACAACAACACTAAAAAACCAACAACAGCGAAACAACATACCAATTCACCATCAAAAACTGCCGCTTATCTTTCTTTAGTTTGGAAAAGTTGAAATGTCCCAGCATTGTTTTCTGGGTTAAACATTTTAGTTGGCTGTGTTCCTCTCAGTCATGGAATTCACCAACCCAATGTTACATGAGCCCTGTTGCCATTATCAGTTGCTTTGAACTGAGAAACATTCTTTGGCTTTCCTTTTAATGAATGTCCTTATAAGAATATGTAGGAATGGTGGTCACCAGCGGAATAGTCACTCAGCCCAGTTCCATTTAAGGTGATGTTAATTTCTCCATATGAAACCACCCAGGTAACATGATTCCTTTTGCTTTGCTTTATTGCTTCTCTATAGTGGCAAACTGTACAGTACCATAATGGAAAGAAGCACTGAAAAGCTTTTCTTATAAATTTCCAGCAAGACCTTCCACTTAGTCTCTGGTGGTGGGGGTGCATCACAGGAAGGAGTCCCACTCTTCTCAGATCACTCCCTGGCTGGTAGACATGAGAACCTGAGCAGTTTTAAACAGTCAGTCCTTGAGTAAAAAAGTCTCAGGATGAGGGAAAAATTAACTTGGTTGCAGTGTGTAGAGGTAGAAGAGCATCTCTTCATTACTTCATTTTGGTACATGGTTTGGGCAATCCTATTTGTATCAGAAATCTCAGAGTTTTTATTTAGAGGTGTGATGAGCTGTTTTTGTCAGTTGAAACTGAAAATAAATAAGCTGTGCCTGTTGGAAGATTCTGAGGTGGAGTCAGGAGTAGAAGAGGGTTCTCTGGGCATAGAGTTGCTGCAGGACTGGGAAGGCCGTGCCTCAGACCAGATGCAGGGCTGATGCTGTCCTTCCCTGTTGCCCCACCTGGCAGAGGGGCCAGATGCCAGCTTCCGCACCGCACTCGGCCACTGCTGGGCTTCCTGTGAAGAAGGGGATGAGGCAGAAGAGCTGGTGTTAACTGTGGGGGGAGTCGGTTGGCTGGGAGTCACCTGCATTATTTTGTGCAGGTAATTCGTTTTGCAAGGGAGATCTGAGCAGTGCACCACGCTTTGCCAGTGGCAGAAGGGATTAGGGCATTTTGGAGAGTTGTAACCTCCCTGGGAATGGGGATTGCTAAGTGCTGGCACAAGGTCATTTGAAAGGCAAGAAAAATCCTAATGACTCCTCAAGATTTATTCTTTCTTTGTTTTTATGTTTATTTATTTTGAGAGAGAGAGAGAGACAGAGCACAAGCAGGGGAGGGGCACACAGAGATAGAGAGAGAAAGAGAGAGAGTCCCAAGCAGGATCTGTGCTGTCAGTGCAGAGCCCGACAAGGGGCTCAATCTTGCAAACTGGGAGATCACGACCCGAGCTGAAATCAAGAGCCAGATTCTTAACCAACGGAGCCACCCAGGTACCCCATGGTTTATTATTCCTAAATTGAGTCTGCTTTTTGTCTCAGGTTCTGATGGGTATGGTTCTTATATGTACCCTGAATCAGAGAATGAAAGTTGTCATATCTGTTGGGTCAGAGAACCAAAGGAAAGTCAGGGAAACAAATTTCCTAGACACAATTAGAATTCATTCCCCTAAACCTCTCTCCATAATTGGAAAGCTGCATTTGCACATTCTTCCTGGCCTCTGTGTGTGTGTGTAAAACATAATGGAAATGATTTAAAAATTTTTTTTCAAAATAATCAAAAGGAGTCAGCCTTACACAACATCTGTTGTGTGCACGAAGTTTAACACCATAGCACAAGTTACTTTTCTTTAGCTAATCTTTGACTGAAAAATGCTTGCCAGAGGCTAATAATCCCTTCAAGAGTGTTCTTACAGGCACATGCATTCCTGAACCACATTTAGGGAAAAGTCCCTTTTCTCCCCTAATCGGGTTTATGTAGTTTCAGCCTATTTCTTCCATCTCTTATTAGTCTGAAAATGTAATCCAGATGTTTTCATGGTTTGAGCTCCAGGAAAACCAATGTGAAAGAAATCTGGGCCAGCGAACAGAAACAGGGGACTATCGTAGTTAGAAAGACATTGTAACTTGATATATTAAAGGGGTCTTTATTTCTCTCCTTTGTTCAAACTTTAAACTACTTTTGTAAGTTCATCTGTTAGACTAGTTTTTCTAGGAATGTGCTTCGGGAAAGACAGTTAAAAAACCCTCCATTATAATTATCCTCGAATTGTGCCAAATGGATGATGCTAACACTAACGTATCATTATGAACAATCCAGTCCAGGTTTGTGCTTTCAGGGCCTGGTGAGACGAACAGGGACACAGCCCTGGGGGGGCAGCTGCTAGCTTTGACCGCACAGGGAACACAGCAGTGGAGCCCATTTCTGTATTTGAGGCCTCAGATCATTTGGAACCAATTTAATGCTTTGGTGTTTCCAATGATTTTCTTTTCCAAAAATGACAGAAATTTGAGCCAAACACTAGGGAATACATTTTATGGAAGAAGGCAGACTGTTTGACATGCGAGGTTCTCTTTTTTTGTGACTAGCTGCTCTCAGTGTTTCATAATTATGTTACTTGGTCTGCTAGTTTCCCTTCCTGATCTGGTTTTTGAAGCTGAAGGTGGGTCATTTACATTTTCATAAAACAGCCTCTGAAATGGAAGCAGGTTGTATATTTGCTCAGAGCAGATTTAAGGACGTGGCATCTGACCCTTGCCTAGTTTTCTCATTAACACTGGACAGAAAACATGACTTCTTTAAACTTTAAATGCTTCCTGTCTTTGGCAAACTAAATCCAACGCCTGGTTTATATGGCTTCATGTTTAGGACCGCCGTGGAAATGTTAGCTCTGCCCCTATGTCCCTCAGTTTGCTTTAGTCAGAAGGAAGAGAGGACATTCTTTCTCTCAGTTTTGTTTTATACTAGCCATCCAGACAAGATGAAGAGATACTATGACCCAAATAACTGCATATGCATGGGCTTCCCATAGTAATAATACTAAAGGTTATTACAGACCAACAGGAGGGGGGAGTTATGAACAGCCAGCATTTATTGAGTGCTTCCTGTGTGGCGGGCCCTCTCCCCTGAGCTTTACGTTGTATGATCTGATTTAATCTGTGAAGTCATTTCAATATCCCTATTACACAGAAATGTGGGGCACAGGCCTTAGAATTAGTCAGTTGTAGAACTGGGAGGAAAACCTAAAGAGTCTGGTCATAGAGCCTGTTCTTGGTTCTGGAGCCATGTTGCCTCTTAAGCCGCAGGGAACAGCTGACAGGTTAGAATGGTAGTCACGTTACGTTTCAGACAGCTTCCTACAGCAGAGGGACGTGGGAGATGAATTTGAATTATTCTGTTCACGCTGGTGCTTCCTGTCTCCTTGAAATCTGTTTCCCCTTTGCTTTGTGTGGCAGTGGCACCAGGCAATGGATGGAAGTCATTTGCTGCTTTCCCTGGCCTTCTTGTTAACACCACCTCCATCTACCCATGACGCAGGCTCGCAATCAGAGTCATCTTGGACTGTTAAGTCTCCTCTGAATAACCCATCACTGATTCTTGAGAATTTTCTCTCTCAGGCATTTCTTCAGTGCCACCTCTCCTTTCTGTCTTCTGGCTGCTTATCCAGGTTAGTCCTCCGTTTTCCAGAAATGGTGCCATGGCCCAGTAGTTAGTCTCCTTGCTTCTAGTCCATTCCCCAGTCAGCACCAAGCTCTATTCTCCTCCAAATCACTTTCCCATCTGGTTGTCAGAAAAGATAAATCTCACCTTGTTGTTCTCTTGCTCGGACATGTTCCTTGTTGCCTCGTGGCCCATGGAATAAAGTTCAGTCCCCTGAGGGTCGGCTCTGGATTGCCCCCAGCCTCAACTCTCTCTCTCTCCTCCTTGCCCGTGATGCTTCAGCAACACTGAACTAATTGGAGTTCCCCAAACACAGTGGGTCTCCTTGCATGTGAACCACCACTAGAGCGCTTTCTGCTGTCTTGGAGTATCTTTCTGTTTCTTCTTCCCCTGACAAGCTCCTCAGACTCGAGAGCTGGCCTGAGAAGAGTTAGATTCTCCTCTTTCATGGCTGCAGTGCATCTAGTATGTGCTCTGAGTTACATCGTGAACTCACAAGACAGTCCCATTCACTGGACCACAAGATGCCCAAAGGCAGAGAATGGATCTCATGCATCCTCCTCTTACCAGATCCCAGTCTATTCTCTACTTCTTTTATTCTAGGAAAGCCTTTATATGTATGCTTCGGTGCTTTACAGAGTGTATTTATCAGCAAAACATTGCTTTATTTGCTCTATTATTCCTATTAGATTGAGAGCTTCTCAAGGACAAGAAAAAAAATCTCCTTTTGCTGTCATTAGTAAGGGCTAGAGGGTGGCTTGGAATCATGTCTGTCTCTGTAAGGAATGTGTCCTGCCAGAGTGTCCCCAGTGTTGCGGGCTCGGGGAACGATGAGAGCATTAGTGTCTGGGCTAGTTAATGAGCAGCAACTTGGTTGGGAAAGGTCGGATGCGCAGACTGACTCTGACTGTGTGTGACTCAAAGCACTCAGTAAATAAAGCAGAGGGCTCAAAGAAACTGAGGGTTTTCAAAATTCTCTCTTTGGAGTAGTGTCAGTTGGGGAACTGACCACAACTACCTAGTATTAATAGGCAGACTCTGTATGTAGTTCAAGGGGGTTAGTAGGATATGAGTTGGGCTTTGAAAAAGAATCGTGGAGAATGGTGGCACTGATAATCAAATGAATCATAAGAAAATTTATAACCCAACTAAAACTTAGGGAGGCTTAGTAATTTTTTTAAAGTACTTACACAGTGTTCCAAACCTTATGAAGGATTGGGCAAGCATGCAAACATGTGGAAGACATGGCTTAAAACTTCACTGTAACTGCTCCAGGATGATGTCATTGATTTGCATGTTGCAGTGAGGTCAGAGTTCCTTTATTGGGATATTTTTTGTTCTGCATGAGAACTAGTTGAGAGGCATACATTCTTGTTGTGATTTAGAAGTAGATGACAAGGATGGCAGAAAGAAGAGATTATGACCAAAAAAAAGGTAGTGAAGGCTTTGTCAAATCAGTACATTTATCCTGTGGGGATAGGTGATATTCTGCCAAAACCACAGAAACAAAAAACTTGAGAGAGAGAGAGTGAGAGACTGTACGTGCACACATGTGTGCATGGGGGAGGGACAGAGAGAGAGGGAGAGAGAGAATCCCAAGCAGGCCCTATACTGTCAGCACAGAGCCCGACATGGGATTCTGTCTCACAAACCATGAGATCATGACCTGAGCTGAAATCAAGAGCCAGATGCTTCATCGACTGAGCCACCCAAGGGTCCCAAGATTAACCTTATTCTTTTCTTTTTTTTAAATGTTTATTTATTTCTGGGAGAGAGAGAGCAAGCAAGTGGAGGAAGGGAAGAGAGAGAGACACACACACAGAATTCAAAGCAGACTTCAGGCTCTGAGCTGTTAGCACAGAGCCTGACGCAGGGCTCAAAACCACAAACCATGAGATCATGACCTGAGCCAAAGTTGGGTGCTTAACCGACTGAGCCACCCGGGCGCCCCATATTAACAATATTCTTAAAAGGTTTTAGAAGAATTCATTCAGAAATAGCTATTTCAGTTCATTAATTATGTTGAAAAAGTAAGGCTTTGGAGATGTTGGCTTTTCAATCTGTTTACAAAAATAATTTATGTAATGACAGTTTTTATAAGGGAAAAAGGGGGTCAGGTGGTTAAAAAAAAAAAAAACGCCTTGAATGTTGACTGTTTTTCTTGATTTTCAGCAATACCGTGAAGAACTGGATGCCAAGTTTAATTCTGATAAATTTAAATGGGACAGAATGTGCCATAGAGAAGCTGCAGTAATGTTGAAAGCATTTTTCAGAGAACTACCCACCTCTCTCTTCCCCGTGGAATATATACCTGCCTTCATCACTCTAATGGAAAGTAGGTAGAAGAAGTTAAGTGTGAATGGACTAACATATCAGGTCAATAAAGTGCCACAGAGCAGAAGAAAAATGCATAATCACACGTGGTCGTAAATGTACAGATTTGCCATTTCCTGGAAGTGCTTAGTGAAGTATTGAGTTCGATGGTAGACAATCATCTCTTTTCATATTTATATATTAAGTTTGGTAGATAAAAGTTAGAGGGTTTTGTAATTGTTAAAAGAGAAGATGTTGAAAGTCAGGCTCTTGAGATTTGAATTCGTGCTCAGCCATCTGTTAGCCATGTAATCAACCTTTCTCAGCTTCATTGCTGTACCTACAAATTACGTATAATAATTGCTTGTCAGGGTTGATATGGTTATTGAATGAAGACATCTAGAATTGTGCCTCATGTGTAATAGTCCTTCCAAATATAGAAGGTCTCTCCCTTCTTTAAATCTGAAGTCCTGGGTTTGATGATGTGTAACACACAATATAGGCTACACAGAAGATGTTTTGTCTCTGAAAATTACAATATCACTATAGTGTTTTTGAAAATTACAGTCCCCTAGATTAGGCCTTAAGTGAGGAACTTGGATAAAAGCATGGAAACTGGAAAGTGTGTGTTGTATTTGGCAGTGAGGGAATAATTTGGCATGGTTTCAGCCTCAGGGTTGACTATTATAGAGATGTGACAAAAGAGAAACTTAGGAAAGTAGAATGGGGCTACATGATGGGGGCTTTGCCTGCTAACCTGAGGAACTTGGGGGTCACAAGCCTAACTGTGTACAAACCTTAAATAAATGGCAATTCCACATGGACAGAAAACACCAGGGACAAACAGAAAGGACACACCCCATATAAAGAGGTTGGCCACTGCTCAACTCTCGATAATGGTTACCATGCGGGAGTGAGAGCCAAAATCCACACTTTAATGGGGAAACTGTTAATTTGAAAATATCAGCCACAGATTCAAATGTGAAAACACTGTGTGAGCCTAACAAATGATATCTATATCTGCCAGTTTACAGCTTTCTGCAGGTTTACCAGAAGTATAAAATCCTTAAAACCACCAGAAAGAAAATAATGGCCAGGTTCTAATTTTGATGACAAAACTTGTCCTAATATTAATAGGTTCTAGGTCTGTAAAAATTTTAACTAAACCAGATTCATAATATAATCCTTTGGGTCTTCATAGAAGAGAATATGATAGGCAAGGCAGGTTTTTTTCTTAAGCTTTAATTCACATGCCATCTGTGACCAGTATCTCTTTTCTTCGTATGAGGTAGTGTTTTGTTTTATGAGAGAAACTCTCAAAGAGCTTCATTCTTTTTGTGTTTCAGATACTGTGTTTTGTCAGTTGTAGAGTTTCTAGTTGGTGCTTTTTTAAAATTGAATTATAGTTAATACACAGTGTTATATTAGTTTCAGGTATACAGTGTAATTATTCAATAATTCCATACATTTTTCAGCACTCATCATGATAAGTGTACTCTTAATCCCCTTTATATTTTTCATCCCTTCCCTGCCCACCCCCCTCTGGCAACCACCAGTTTATTTTCTATATTTAAGAGTCTGGTTTTTTGTTTGTCTCTCTTTTTCTGTGTTCATTTGTTTAGTTTCTTAAATTGCACATGAGTAAAATTATGTGACCCTTTTTTTCTCTGACTTATTTCACTTAGTATTATATCCTGTAGATCCATCCATGTTGTTGCAAATGGCAAGATTTTGTTTTTTTATGGCTGAATAATATTCCATTGTATGTATATATGTATATACATACACACATGGTATACATCGAATGTGTATATACACATACATGCACACATCACATCTTTATTTTATTTTTCACACCACATCTTCTTTATCCATTCATCCATCAGTGGATGCTGGGGTTGCTTCCCTGTCTTGGCTGTTGTAAATAATGCTGCAATAAACATAGGGGTGCATATATCTTTTCGAATTAGTGTTTTTATCTTTATTAGTTGAATACTGGAATTATTGGATCATATGGTATTTACCTTTTCAATTTTTTTAGGACCCTTCATGCTGTTTTCCACAGTGCCTGTACCAGTTTGCATTCCCATCAGTAGTGCACGAGGGTCCCTTTTCCTCCACATCCTTGCTAACACTTGTAATTTCTTGTGTTTTTTATTTTAGTCATTCTGACAGGTGTAGGGTGATATCGCATTGTGGTTTTGATCTTCCATTTCCCTGATGATTACTGATGTTGAGCATCTTTTCATGTGTCTGTTGGCCATTTTTATGTCTGTATGTCTTCTTAGGGAAATGTCTATTCAGGTCCTCTGCCCATTTTTTAAATCAGATTATTTGGGGTTTTGGGGGGTTGGGTTATATAAGTTCTTTATATATATTTTGAATACTAACCCCTTATCATATATACCATTTGTAAATATCTTCTCCCATTCAGTTGGTTGCCTTTTTGTTTTGTTGATGATTTTCTTCACTATGCAGAAGTATTTTATTTTGGTGTGGTCCCAATAGTTTAATATTACTCTTGTTTCCCTTGCCTGTGGAGATATATCTAGAAAAGTGTTTCTATGGCTGATGTTAAGAGATTACTGCCTGTGCTTTCTTCTAGAATTTTTATGGATTCAGGTCTCACATTGAGGTCTTTAATCCATTTTGAGTTCATTTTTGTGTATAGTATAAGGCAGGGGTCTAGTTTCATTCTTTTTATGTGACTGTCCAGTTATCCCAGCACCATTTGTTGAAGAGATTATCTTTTCCTCATTGGATATTTTTGCCTCTTTTGTCATATTCTTGCCTCCTTTTTAAGTATTTTCTTTTTTTTTTTTTTAACGTTTATTTTTGAAGGAGAGAGATACAGATAGTGAGTAAAGGAGGGGCAGAGAGAGAAGGAAACACAGAATCCAAAGCAGGCTCCAGGCTCTGAGCTGTCAGCACAGAGCCCAACTCAGGGCTTGAACCCACGAACTGTGAGATCATGACCTGAGCCAAAGTCAGACACTCAACCGATTGAGCCACCCAGGTGCCCCTAAGTATTTTCTATTTATTTGCTGAGATGGCCTATCTTTTCATTCATTATCAGAATACTTTCCTTCACATCACTGAACATAGTTATGATAGATGCTTCGGAATCCTTGTCTGCTAATCCCCACAGATGTGGGTCATCTCAAGGTTGGTCTCTGTTGATTGTCTTTTCCCTTGAGAATGCACCACTCTTGCATGTCAAGTAAATTTAAACTGTATCCTGAACAGTGTAAATATTGTGTTTTGGAGACTCTGTGTTCCATAATTTCCCCAAAGAGTGAGGTTTGGAGTTCTGTTATGGTTTTTGTCATTTGTTTGTTTGTTTGTATTTAAGCCAACCATTTATTTCGACCCAAATTGAACTCAAATTGCCAGTGGTCTTTTGGAAGCAGCTCAACCATCAGTCTAGTTATTTAATCCTTACCTGTGCTACTCCATACATTCTTGGTTTAGGTCAGCCAGGACTTTATGCCAGAATCAGGGCCTTTGCCCATAATTTCCCAGTGGTTGTAGGCATCTTGAATCCTGTCTTTTAGCTGTTGAGGACAGAAAGACTGGAGTTTTCTTTTGGAGCTTTAGCTACCTCATGCAATACTGACTATAGCCTGACCTCAGACTAAAAGCTAGAGAAGTGGGAAACTCTCCCTGTGCCATTCTCTAATTCCAGGTGTCCAGTCTTCTGAATCTGCCTGCTTTTATTAATTCTCCACTGCCTTAGGGAGTTGTTTTTTGTATTTTGTCCAGTGTTTATAGTTCCCTTCAGGAGGATTGGTCAGGAAGGAGCTTACTCAGCCATACAGAAGCAAGAGTTCCTCCCTTCAGTTTATAAGCCCCCCAAAATAGGATTTTTTGCATAGTTTGCTCTCCTGGAAAATGGGCTGCAGAAGTATTATCTTTACTTTAATCTGTCGTGTATATACTAAATAATTTCGTTAAAACAAAGTGGTGCCACAGAGGATTTTATTGTGTTTGTGGCTTCTTGGTATTATAAAATTATGCCAGATCTGGTCAGAGAATCCTATTAAGAAAGGTATACAGGGGCGCCTGGGTGGCGCAGTCGGTTAAGCGTCCGACTTCAGCCAGGTCACGATCTCGCGGTCCGTGAGTTCGAGCCCCGCGTCGGGCTCTGGGCTGATGGCTCAGAGCCTGGAGCCTGTTTCTGATTCTGTGTCTCCCTCTCTCTCTGCCCCTCCCCCGTTCATGCTCTGTCTCTCTCTGTCCCAAAAAAATAAACGTTAAAAAAAAAAAAATTTAAAAAAAAAAGAAAGGTATACAAATACACTAGTTTCTGTAGCATCATTGTTCCCCATCTGACCGCAGCCAGTACACCTCATTGAAAGGGAGAAAATCTGGAAAATATCCTGAAAAGGTTCACAGAGGAGTCCACGTTTCTTTGTGTGACTTTGAAAGTAAAACATACTATGTTGCAGTGATTGATTTGATAGCAGCCGACCCCGCAGGAAGCCCAGAGTTCTGGACTCCTACCAGCAGGGAAAATGGCCTTTTTGCTACCTTAGTGTAAGCTCTAGTTATAACGAGATTTTCTGAAGGAAGAAATTGTGGATACGTGTGTTTAAGCTGCCATTCTTTATTCTCTAAAATGGGGTTTGGAGAATGTAATCGTTGAGTGTAATTGCTTTCTCTTCCCAAACTCTGCCCCAAAATTGTCCACAAAATTAAAACACTAATAGTTCATCCATCAAGTGTTAGATGCTTTTATGAAAAGTTTAATAACTTCCTGGGAAAATAATCCTAACCAGGGTGCAGTAAATGAATTAACTACAAAACGGTTAACCACGAATGGTGTAGGGGCAAGTTACCTAAATAAAATGAAAATAGATTATTTGCCAGTTTGCAGAGTTTTAGTCTTAAAAGTATTTTCATAATTGCTCTGAAATTAGTAGAAATACAGAACCTGCAGCTGCATTTGTTGCTCCCCCAGCCAGCCAAAGAACACTTTTGGTTGCATGAGAAGATTAGCCTGCAGTTTATGCATTAAAATAATGCCTTATGTGTCCCTCAGTGCTTTATACTGAGATATGCTCCTGATAGTTCCTATTAATCAGGTAAACTCACATCAGTGTACATTGGCCATTTTCAAAAACATCCTGAACCTGTGTCATTCTTGTTTACAAGTTTTACATAAATTTCCAAAAATCCACATGGGGATTATGCCAAGAGAATGATACAGCCCTATAATAATGTTCCCAACTGTTTGTCTGTTACATGATTATATACATTAGTCATCTACTGCTAACTAGGATGTGCACCATCTCCTGTAACCCAGTAGCTTGTCACAAGAGTGTTTCCACTGCTGTAAAGCTAAGTAGCTTTACAGGCAGTTGACTACCTTTTATCCACTGAATATAAATAGATTTTCCTTCAACTTGAAAACTCTCCAGGGATGCTAGAACATAATGCTTCCCTTCAGGAACTCGCTACCAAGAGACCATTGTGAAGAGAATACAGAGAGACAAAGAAAAGCCTAGAATGATCTGATATGCTCTACATTTTCAGCACAGCTGGTTGTGGATTATCCAGTTGTGGATGGAATCCCTAAAATTCTTTCCCTAAAACGGGGAAAAAAGCCAGCTTTGAGAATACTCAAGTATGAATGCCAGCCCTCTGGCGCCATCTTCTGTCATTATCCAGGAATAAAATACTCAAGAATCTCTGGAGATCCAACTGTAGCTCTAGAATAAGTGTCATTAATCATAATAAAAAGAACGGACACATACAGAGGTAACTATGTACAGGCATTGATGCAAACGCTATACATACTCACTCATTTAGTCTTTGTAACAACCAAGTGAGGTAGGTGTGACTACTCCCATTTTACAGATGGTAAAATGGTAGCAATGAGGGCTTAAATAGCCTGCCCAAGGTCATTCAGTAACTAAGTAGTAGATGCAGGATTTGAACCTGGTTCTAGAATCTGTGCTCCTAATAATTATACTTTGCTGCCTCATCATGTGGAAACAAGATTTACTTTCTGTTGACTTGAGCTTTTAAACCTTCTGTTTATAGCATACAAGTAAAGCAGGGCCACTGGAAGTACTTTGAAAAGGGAAATGTTATACAAATCTAGAATTATTTTGAGGCTCTCACGGCCACCTGTCTCTACAGTGGCATCATGGGATGTGAAAAAGGAGTTGATAGACTGAGGCTCTTGTCCAGGTTAACAAATTTACATTGTTGGGCACAAAACCTGAGTCTTTACCACTGAAAGCTGTCAGGAGCCCTCCTGTGCCACCAGATGTTAGGAAGAAATGCTGTCAGAATGCTTCAGTGTCGTTCAAAATGTGTGGTTATTTCTGTTTTCTTGTTAGGAGGGCCTCCCATCAAAGTACAGTTTCAAGCTTTACACCTCATGGTCATGGCACTGCCCGATGCCAACAGGGACACAGCTCAGGTATGTGGTATCAACCTCATGGTCTGTGATTGGCCCTTCTTAGAGAAAATGGTTCAGATGGAAAAATGGAACCCAAGATGACAACTGACTAAGCCAGCTCAGCACACTGCCAACCTATAATTGTCTTTGCGCATTCCCACTGGTGTTCTCTTGAGGAAGGCAGGAAAGAATGTAAATCCTGGAATCTTCTTTGAACATTTCAGTTCTGTTCATTCAATCCATTAAGAGGTACTGAGTATCTGTCGAGTGCCCGGCACCAGGCTAGGGTTAGCAGGGGGAGAAGCACGTAATGTTAGAAGTAAATGAGACCATTATGTAAGCTGCAGAATATAAAACTCTATAAGCTGCTCACTCCAGTCTAGTGGCAAAAGATCCAAGGAGTGTACTCATGGAGGAAATTTGAAATCACTGATTTAAATGAAATTTGTAAAATGTTTGGGTCTTAAAGTTTCCAAAAATAATTTAATTAAAGAATCCTAAGATCTTGGAATTTTGGAAATCACCTGATAGGGTCTCCTCATTTTACAGATTAGGAAAATTAGACTCAGAAAAATAATTTCTCCATTAATATATAATAGAACATGTAATCGAATCATACTCCATTATTCTCCCGAATATTCTTTGCTTTATTTCAGATTTATTTCTTTGCTGTATGTTGGCAAAAATCAAAAGGTCCTCTTGTTATTTTGTAATGATTCTGTATGCAGTGGGAAATTTGTTATAAGTACAACAGGTGTTTGGAATCTATGAAATGAAATTGAGTTAAGATGAGCTGGAAAGAGCCCGTAATTTTGAGGCCAGTAAACATAACGCTTGAAAACAAAGGTGATTCTTTCTGCTGCCTCTTATCAGACATTTCAATTTGGTGAGGACCTTTCCTCCTACCTAATAAAAATATCTAGGTCAATTATAATGTATGTCAATTATATCATATCCTCAGCCCAAGGATGGGAATTGGATATGACATAAGAATGTCTGTGTCTAACGTAATTCAATAATTTTTCAAAAGCTGGAAATTTATTAGCTTGTTTTTGGGGTTTGTGTTCAACAATGTTCTTTTATATATAAAGGGAAAAAAGGATGCATCTGCTATCAGATATTTTGTTCAGAAACAAGTAATTCGATACTTTTCTAACAAGATCCTCAAAAACATCATGGGACTGGTGAAGAGGTTACACATACACACACACACACACACACACACACACACACACACATTTTTTCCCACTCTACAGTGTGACTGGATCTAGGATTGAAGCTGGTGTGGTAGAGGTCAAGAGCTCTGACTCAAGAATTAGATTTCCTCAGGTCAAATCCTGGCTTTGCCACTTACTCAATTCACACTGGGTGAAGCTACTTTAATTTTTTCATTAGCTTCCTCATCTGTCAAACAGAATTAATAATAGTACCCACTTCACAGGGTTTGTAATGATGACAAAGTCAGTGATATGTATGAAGTATTCAGAATAATGCTTGGCTCACAATAAACCCTCAAATTAATGTTAACTATTAATTACTATTATGTGCTACCCATTTTCTCATTAAGATTACTACAGCAGATTCAAACTTGAAAAACTAAAGAATATCTTTTATTCTCTTTTCTTTCCTTTTTAAAGATTTCAGCCCTCTTGGTGAATTTCAGACGGTTCTGATAAGTATCTGTACTTTGGTGGCTTAGCCAAACTTTAAGCTTTCTCAAATCTCCCCCCCCCCTTTTTAAATGAACAACTTCATGGCATTTCCCTTTGGTCTGCTGAAGATTTGAAAACTGAAAAGCATGGAAAAATGACCCCCAGAAAGTAAAATTTTTTAATTTTTCAATTGAGTTTACATTTGGACTGACTAATGAGATACACATTTTTTTTTTAATGGGTTTTCCTTTCCCAAGGAAACAGTAAATAGTTTTCAATGACAATGCTTTAAATTAAGGTGTTTTTAGGGGTTCCGGGTGGCTCAGTCGGTTAAGCATCCAACTTTGCTTGGGCTCAGGTCATGATCTCACAGTTCATGGGTTTGAGCCCCACATCGGGCTCTGTGCTGACAGCTCAGAGCCTGAAGCCTGCTTCAGATTCTGTGTCTCCCTCTCTCTCTGCCCCTCCCCTGCTCATTCTCTCTCACTGCCTCTCAAAAATAAATAAACATTAATTTTTATTTTAATTAAGGTGTTTTTAAGGATTCCTTTTCTTCCTTCATAACAACACTTCACTTCATGTTTATTTGAATTGCAGTGTTTCCTCTTCCCGGTTTTACTACATAACTTTAATATTTGTCAACCTCATTTTGGATAAAGAAAATAAAACAATGCAAACTTTTACTTATAGAGACTCCAATATAATAAACTCTATAAAAATGGAATACTTTCATGAAGCAGACAATTGAATGAACAGTTCACATACCTCATTAGCACTTTTAAGTAATAAAGGGGACAGCATTACACATTTAGTCATGCTATATAGCCATGCTGTAGTTCTGACAGTTTTCTAGAGGGCACCATGAACGGGTATAGAAATGAATGACAGCACCTAGTGGTGCCTTTTGATAATCTACAGTAGTGTGACTGCTGTTTCTTGCTAGGCCCTCATGACATTCTTCAATAAAGTGATTGCCAACGAATCAAAAAACCGAATGAGTGTATGGAACATTTCTACTGTAATGGCACCAAACCTTTTCTTCAGTCGAAGCAAACATTCTGATTATGAAGAACTACAGTTAGCAAACACTGCAGCCCACATCATCCGCCTAATGCTTAAATACCAAAAGATTCTGTGGAAGGTGAGTAACGGTGTGATGACTGTGATGTTTTCTTTGGAAGTCCACCAGCACCCAGGAAATGTAAAGACTCCACGAGCGAGCGATACCCTTAGTCACAGGAGGAAATATGAGAAGATCGTCCCAGGCTGCCTGTGGCATCTTTGTAAATACTTTCATGACTGTTCCTGAATATGTTTCCCCTCTTAGACAGGAGTGCTTCTCATTTTCTCTAAAATGTAAAGACAAATGCCACAGTCTGTTTCCAGGATACTGAGTGGCCAGAAGGAGTTACCATAACTGAAGATGGAGTCTGCCGGGGAGTTTTAATCCAAACACTTTCCTTTCGATTCAAGTAGTGTTTCTTCTCCAGGTTCCATCTTTCCTAATCATGCAAGTCAGAAGAATGAACGAAGCTACGATGCTGTTAAAGAAGCAGCTCCCAAGTGTCAGAAAGCTGCTGAGGAGGAAGACCATAGAACGAGAGGTAATGGCAAGAAACTAAGGGCGCAAATGTTGTTACTGCCCAGGTTTTTATTCCTCAAAGCATAACACAAAGTAGCTTGTAATTTATAACCAAAATATTCTCACAAAATATCAGTCTTGTGACCATAAACATTATGGAAATGGTGTTCAGAACACAGTACTGTGGTCTTCCCATTTTGTTGAAATATGTGCTTCTGGTTTAAGTTCTTGAAATAGGTCTATCTGGAAGATTATTTAATACTCTGTGAAGTACTTAAGTCTAAAATGGTTCTCACAAAAGATAAAAGTCAACCTTTTAGTCCCGTGTGAACTAGAATTAGGGCATTCCAGTATCTAGTATGTCTAATAAATAGAGAACGATTTCTCTAGTGATTGGATAATAAAAGAATATTTACTCTTCAAGATTAGTCTTTAATCTTCATTGCATTTCAAAGAATTTTTGCTTTAGCATAGTTTGTGTAACAAATAAACAACTGTATTGAGATACAATCCTCATATCATACAGTTTTTTATTTACAGTGTAAAATTCAATAGTTTTTAGTATATTCACAGATATGTGAAATCATCAATGCAATCAACCTTAGAACATTTCATCACCTGAAAAAAAATACCATACCCTTTGGCTATCATCGCCCTAGGCACACCTCTACCATTTCCTCCTGCCAGTCCTAAGCAATAGCTTATCCACTTTCTGTCTCTATAGAGTTCCCTATTCGGGACTTTTAATGAATTAAGTCATCTAATATGTGGTCTTCTGTGACTGGTATATTTTCTTTAGCATTATATTTCATGGTTCATCCATGAACCATGGCCAAACAGTATTCCATTATATGGATTTCCACATATCTTTTTATCCATTCATTTATTGATGGACACTTGGGTTGATTATACTGTTTGCTTATTATGAATAATGCTGCTACAAACATTTTTAAGTTTATATGTGGACATATGTTTTTACTTCTCTTGGGTATATGCTGGGTAATAAAGCAACTCTATGTTGAGTCATCTGAGGAACTGCCAGACTGTTTTCCAAAGTAACTGCCCCATTTTTACATTTTGACCAGTAGTGTGTGAGGATTTAGATTTTTCCATATCCTCACAAAAACTTATTATCAGAAAGTTTTATTCTAGCCATCCTAGTGGCATAGAGTGGTACCTCATTGTGGTTTTGATTTTCATTTCCCTGAAAACTAATGATGTTGAGCGTCTTTTCATGTGCCTGTTGGCCATTTGTGGATCTTCCTTGGAGAAATGTCTATTTAGCTTCTTCCCCAATTTTTGATTCAGTTGTCCTTTTACTATTAAGTTGTAGGGGTTCTTCATATATTCTAGATACAAGTCCCTTATCAGATGTATGATTGGAAAATATTATTTCCCCTTCCATGGGTTGTCTTCTCAATTTCTTGTTTGTGTCCCTTGATGCACAAAGGTTTTTAGTCATGATGAAGTATAATTTATCTACTATTTCTTTTGATGGTCATGTTTTTGTTGTCATATCAAACAATCCTTTGTCAAATCTAAGGTCATGAAGATTTGAACTCTTTGTGTTCTTCCAGGAATTTTCTAGTTTTAGTTTTCACATTTACATCTTTCTTCCATTTTGAGTTATTTGTAGTATGTAATATGAAGTAGGAGTATACAAGTTCTTTCTTTTGCATGTAGCTATCCAGTATCTCAGCATCTTTTGTTAAAAAGACGAATCTTTCCCCCAACAAATGGTCTTGACACTATTGTTGAAAATTGACCATAGATGTAGTAGTTATTTCCAGACTCTTACTTCTGTTACATTTATCTATATGTCTCTCCTTATGCCAACAACACACTGTTTTGATTACTGTAGCTTTGTTTTAAGATTTGAAATTGAAAATTAAGAGTTCCAACTTTTTCTTTTAAATAACTTTTGTTATTTGGGGTCCCCTAATTTCCATATCAGGTTTAGGATCAGTTTTCTCATTTCTGGAAGAAAAAAACAACAGTAGTTGGGATTTTGATAGAGATTTCATTGAATATGTAGATAGATTTGAGAAATATTGCCATCTTAATAATATTACATTTTCCAGCCCATGAAAATGGGTTATCTTTCTATTTATTAGGTTTTCTATAATTTATATTAACAATGTTTTATGGTTTTCAATATATAAGTCTTACACTTTCTGGATTACATTTATTCCTAAGTATTTTATTCTTTTTGGTACTATTGCAAATGGAATTGTTTTCTTTTTCTGTTTTTAATGTTTGTTTATTTTTGAGAGAGAGAGAGAGAGACAGAGCATGAGCAGGGGAGAGGCAGAGAGAGAAGGAGACACAGAATCTGCAGCAGGCTCCAGTCTCTGAGCTGTCAGCATAGAGCCCAACGCCGGGCTTGAACCCACAAACGGCGAGATCATGACCTGAGCCGAAGTCGGACACTTAACTGAGCCACCGAGGTGTCCTTGGCATTGTTTTTCTTAATTTCATTTTAGGATGGCTAATTGTTTGTGTATGGAAATACAACTGATATTTGTATATTGATCTTGTATTCTGCAGTTTTGCTAAACTCATTTACTGGCTCTAAAAGTTTGGTTTTATGTGTATTAATTCTTTAGGATTTCTACATATAAGGTCATGTTATCTGTGAATAGAGATAATTTTCCTTCTTTCTTCTCAGTCTTTGTGCCTTTTATTTTTCTTGCTTAATTATCCCGGCTAGAACTCCAGTAGAATATTAAATAAGAAGACAAGAGCAGAGATCATTGTTTTGTTTCTGATCTTAAGGGGAAAGCCCAGTCTTTCATCATTAAGTATGATGTTGTATGTGGGTTTTTCATAGATTGCCTTTATTGGTTTGAGAAAATTCCATTCTTTTTTTTTCTTACATTTTTAAAATTCAATTTATGTAAATTTAAAAAACAAAAACAAAAAACAGTTCACCCATTTCTCCTTCTTGTACCCCATTCCCCACCTCAGCAACTACCAATCCATTCTCTGTATCTATGAACTAGAGATTCCAAATGTAAGAGAGATCATACAGTATTTGTCTTTCTCTGTCTGACTTATCTCACTTAGCATGATGCCCTCAAAATCTTGCCATTTGTGGTAACATGGATGGGCTTCAAGAAAACTCTGTTCTTAATTTGTTGGGTGTTTTTACCATCAAAAGGTGTTCGATTTTGTCAAATGCTTCTTCTTCATCTGTTGAGATGATCATTGGGTTTTTTCTCTTCATTCTATTAATATGATGTATTACACTTACTGGTTTTCATTTATTGAACTAATCCTGCGTTCTTGGGATAAATCCTACTTGGTCAAGGTATACAGTCCTTTTAATATGCTACTAGACAGGTTGCTTGAGGATTTTTACATCAACATTCATAAGGGATCTTGATCTATAGTTTTAATTTCTTGTCATGTCTTTGTCTGACTTTGGTATCAGGGAAATACTAGCCTTTAGAATGAGTTAGGAAGTGCTCCATCTTCTATTTTTTTTAATTTTTAAAAAATATTTATTTAAAAAAATTTAATGTTTATTTTTGAGAGAGAAAGAGATAGAGCACAAGCGGGGGAAGGGCAGAGAGAGAGGGAGACACAGAATCTGAAGCAGGCTCCAGGCTCTGAGCTGTCAGCACAGAGCCCAATGCAGGGCTTGAACTCACGAACCAGATCATGACCTGAGCTGAAGTTGGATGCTGAACCAACCGAGCCAGCCAGGCACACCCCATGATGTTTATTTATTTTTAAGAGAGAGAGAGAGAGACAGACAGATACAGAGAAAGAGCACGAGCAGGGGAGGGGCAGAGAGAGGGAGACACTCTGAGCTGTCAGCACAGAGCCCATAGTGGGGCTTGAACTCACAAGCTGTGAGATCATGACCTGAGCTGAAGTCAGACGTTTAACCAAGTGAGCCACCCAGGCGCCGCCCCCCGCCCCCCCCTTCTGTTTTTTAGAAGGGTTTAAGAATGAATGATTGGAGTTACAGTAGAACCTACCAGTGAAAACATCTGGTCCTGGACTTTTCTTTGTAGGAATTTTTTTGAGTACTGACTCAATCTTTTTACTTGCTATAACTCTATTCAGATTTACTATTTCTTCTTGAGCCAGTATTGAGAGTTTGTGTGTTTCTAGGATTTTGTCTATTTCATCCACATTATCTAATTTGTTGGCATATAATTTATTAGCATCTAAGTTGTTCATGGTGTTCCCTTATAATTCTTTTTATTTCTGTAAAGTTGGTGGTAATGTCTCTGCTTATATGCTGGAGTAATAATTTGAATCTTCATTCTTTTTTACACCATCAGTCTAGCTAAAGGGTTGTCCATTTTATTGATTTTTTTTTAAGGGTCAACTTTTGTTCCATTGATTTTCTTGTTTTTCTATTCTCTATTCCTTATTAAAATTCTGATCTTTATTATTTATTTTCTTAAGCTTGTTTGAGTTTAGTTGTCCTTTTTCTTTAGTTTCTTACTATAGAAAGTTAGATTATTGACTTGAGCTCTTTCTTTTTCAGTGTAGACATTTACATCTATAAATATTCCTCTGAGAACTACTCTCATTCTATCCAATATGTTTTGGTATATTGTGTATCATTTTTGTCCATCTCAAAGTACTTTCTAATTTTCCTTTGACCCATTCATTATTTAAGAGTACGGTATAGTTTCCACACGTTTGTGAATTTCCTAGATTACCTTCTGTTACTGAATTCTAATTTAATTCCATTGTGGGTGGAGAATATACTTTATATTAATTTGGTATTTTTATTTTTTTTTTTTCAACGTTTATTTGTTTTTGGGACAAAGAGAGACAGAGCATGAACGGGGGAGGGGCAGAGAGAGAGGGAGACACAGAATCGGAAACAGGCTCCAGGCTCTGAGCCATCAGCCCAGAGCCCGACGCGGGGCTCGAACTCCCGGACCGCGAGATCGTGACCTGGCTGAAGTCGGACGCTTAACTGACTGCGCCACCCAGACGCCCCTAATTTGGTATTTTTAAATTCACTGAGATTATGGCCTGAAAAACATTTTGTCTATCCTGAAAACTGTTCTATGTGTACTTTAGAAAAACAGATTCTGCTGTTGCTAGTGTTCTATAGATGTCTGTTATGTCTAGATGAAGGTTTCTGTTTTCTTTCTGATCTTCTGCCTAGTTCTTCTGTTATTGAGAGTGAGGTATTGAAGTCTCTAGCTGTTGCAGAACTATTTATCCTTTCGATTCTTTGTGGTTGTTTTTTTTTTTGCTGTATGTTTTATATGATTTTTGTTCCACAATTCCTCCATTACTGCCTTCATTTGTGTATAAGTGTTTCCTAATATACCACTTTAACTATTTTACTATATATTTTTGTTGAAAGAAACAATTATTTCTTCTACTACACATTTTTGAATTATCTCCTGAGTGGTTGCCTTGGGAATTACAAGTACCATTTTAATTTGTAGCAATCTAGTTCATATTAATTTCACCTTCAATTCAATAGTATATAAATACTCTCCCTAGAGACCTCTATATCTCCTACATTATGCTGCTTTTGCCACAAGTTGCATGTTTACAAATTGTGTGCCCATCAACACAGATTTATAATTATTGCTTTATGCACTTTTCTTTTAAATTAGATAGAAAAAAATTGGAGTTTTTAAAAATACATTAATGCTTCCTTTTATATTTACCTACCTAGTTTTCTTTACTGGTGTTCTTTATTTCTTCACACGGATTCAAGTTACTGTCTAGTGTTCCTTAATCTCAGCCTGAAGGACTGATTATCTTAACATTTCTTTTAGGGCAGTACTACTAGGAATGCTTTTATTTATCTTTGAATGTCTTAATTTCTTCTTCATTTTTTGATTGTTTAGTTTTTATTTAATAATCATAAACTTAACTTTGTAAATCAGCTGGACTTAGAGGGGGATAAGGAAAATATGGAAGCTAAAGAACTGTGTCAAGAGCACAAAGATCATAGGCTGTTTTAAGCAGATGGGGTTAAGGGATGCTCTTCTGAGCTACAGAAGGAATGGTCTGGTGGTTCAGACAAAACATAAGTCAGATTTATTAGATGTGCCTATAGTCAACAGTGGTGATGATTTTGCTGGTGTTGCCATTCCTGGACCCACAATGCTCTGGGACTTCCACAGAGTTCATGCCCTCTTCCACCTTATGCTTGCCACTCAGTCTTCATGGTGCGGATGAAAAACTGGGAGCCCTTTGTGTTGGGTCCAGCATTTGCCATGGACAGGATGCCAGGACCAGTGTGCTTCAGGATAAAATTCTCATCATCAAATTTCTCCCCATAGGTAGACTTGCTGACAGTGCCATTATGGCACGGGAAGCCACCACGCTGGCACATAAATCCCAAAATAATCTGTGAAAGCTGGAACCTTTGTAACCTGATCTTTTCTCCCCAGTGCTCAGAGCATGAAAGTTTTCTGTTGAATTTGGAACAGCTCAAAGGAAAAACATTGCAACATCAATATTAAAGAACATGGAGGGGTTGACCATGGGTGGGCAACACAGGCAGCTCTCGGGGCATGGCATCTAGAAAGCCTCTTCTTAATTTTTAAGTATTGTTTTGCCAGAGAAAATTTTGCTTGACAGCTTTTTTTTTTCTTTCAGCACTTTGAGTGTGTTATCCCATTGTCTTCTGACTTTTGTGATTTCTGCTGGGAAATCACTGTTAATCTTACTGAAAATCTCTTGTGTGTGTTGAGCTGCTTTTCCCTTGCTGCTTTCAAGGTTCTTTGTCTTTTGGCAATTTGATGATGATGTATTTTCCTGTGGATCTCTTTGCATTTATCCAATTTGGAGTTTGTTGAGCTTTTTGAATCGATAGGTGAATGTCTATCAGCAAATTTGGGGAGTTTTCAGCCATTATTATTTCAAATATTCTCTGCCTCTTTTCTTCTTCTAGGACTCTTAATTATGTATGTGTTGGTGCACTTCATGGTGGATGTTATCCTATAATTCTTCTTAGGTTTTGTTTATTTTTTTCATTTTTAGTTCCTGTTCCACAGACTGGATAGTGTCAATGGACGTATCTTCAGATTTACTGATTTTTTACTTCTGCATCCTTAAATCTGCTGTTGAGCTTCTCTAGTGGATATTTTATTTCAGTTGGACTTTTCAGTCCAGAATTTCCATTTGATTCCTTATTTATAATTTCTGTTTGTTTTTTGATATTCCCAATCTGGTGAGATACGGTTCTCATGGTTCCTTTCGTTCTTTAAACATGGTTTCCGTTAGTTCTTTGAACATATTTAAAATATCTGATTTAAAGGCTCTTTCTAGTAAGTCTATTGTCTGGGTTTCCTAAAGGAGTTTCTTTTGAAACTTTTGGAACTCCTTTTTTCCTGTCTGTGGGCCACATTTTCTTGATGTTTTTTGTCTGTCTCATAATTTTTTTGTTGCAGAATGGACATTTTAAATATTATAATATGGCAACTCTGGAAATAAGATTCTCCCCTCCTCCCCAGGGTTTCTTGCTTCCTGTTGTAGCTGTTGTTGCTTTGTTTAATTACTTATCTGCTGAGCTAATTTCGTAAAGTTTGAATTCTTTGTTTTGTGTGGCTACTGAAGTCTATTCCATGAGCTTACCATGAGCTTCCATGAGCTTACTATCATGTCACCATGATAGGATGGGTGTGCCCAGGAATATGCAGGCGTATATACTTCCAAAGAAGCACTGTGCACATGCAAGCAAATATAAATATATGTTTCTTATGATGTTGTTAAATTAACATTTGTTAAGTGGAACAAAGGCACTGGGTGGTGAATCACAGCTCAAAAACAAACCATAAGAGAAATTGAAATAGAAAAGTTTATTACTCAGAGGTTCTGGAGGAAGTACAAAGCATGCCCCCAAGGAGCTGTAAGTGCATGTCAAGGCAAGAAGTAGACTGAGCCACAGAACCTGGGGCACATTCCTTGGTTAGAGTCGATGGGTGCAATGCTTTGGGGTTCCCAGGCTAAGGCCAATTTGGTCAATTCAAACCAAAAGAGTGGGATTTTTGCGAATCCCACTATGGTCTTATCTAAGGCTCACACAAGGGCACAACCTTGGGAGGTGGGGAGAGTGTTGATCAGAAGGGCTACAGGGAAAGTCATAACAGCACTCTATGATTTGCTTGTGACTCCATGGCTGTTATCTAGGGCATAGGCTTACACAAGGGACTACTGTCCATTTAAGGTCACTGCAGGCTGCTTGGCCAAACAAAATGGATGCTAAGGCAGCAACACCATGGATAGCTGAGCTGAATTCTCAATAGTGTTCTTCCCCCTTTTAGTATGAACGGTAATATACATGAAATGTTGTCCTTTGTCTTGCTATACCGACTTAAGAAATCATGGTGTTCATTCTATATCAGTTCACAAAGCCTTCTTTGCTTCTTTTGCATGATATCCTGTAGACGTAACTTAATTTATGTAAGCAATTCATATTGGTGAAAGGTGAGATCATGTCCAGCCTTTCGCTATTAAGATTTATGCATCAGTGAACAAAATTGTATAGACATTATTTCTCACAAATGAAGTATATTTGTAGGATAAACTTACAGATGTGACATTGTTGGGTCATTTTATACTTTGATAAATATTCCCCAAATATTTTCCATAAAGACTGTGACAATTTACACTTCTAATAGCAGCATGTGCTCGTTTTCCTAATGTTAATCCTGAGGACTAAATGTGTTTTATTTAGGTTATAAGCCCCAAGACTTCAAAGGTACTACAAAAATCACCCTCTTCAAGAAGAATGGTAAGAAAATAAGTAATTTCCTTTCCTCTCTAAGTATTAACTCCCTACATGATATTCTCTGGATACATTTACCATATCATTTTTATTTATTTATTTTTAATTTTTTTAATGTTTATTTATTTTTGAGACAGAGAGAGACAGAGCATGAATGGGGGAGGGGCAGAGAGAAAGGGAGACACAGAATCTGAAGCAGGCTCCAGGCTCCAGGCTCCAAGCTGTCAGCCCAGAGCCCAACGCGGGGCTCGAACTCACGGACTGTGAGACGATGACCTGAGCTGAAGTCGGGTACTTAACCAACTGAGCCACCCAGGCACCCCGTACCATATCTTTTTTTCTAATTTGATCATGAAACATCCTTCAGACTTAGCATTTCATGTGGCACATGAATGAATAGTATAGGGAGAGAATATGCTAACTTATGACTCAAAATGTATGGCTAGGCATTCTGTACGCAAGTATGAATACTATAAATATTAATAGGGAAAATGTGATTATGATCACAGGTTCAGTAATGTCAGGAATGTGGAATTTATCTTACAGAGGCTTCTGGGGAGCTGGGAGAGGAAGGGCATGAAATGACCAAGAGAGGGTTTTAGGAGTATAGTCTTGACTCCAAGACTCTGGGGATGCTCTGCACCTCCCCCCACCAAGTCCAACTTTCTCAGCATCCATTCCCTGGCATGCTGTCCTGGTTCTTGCTGGTAATAATAGAAAAGGACCGTAAGAACTGACTGTATTTTAAAATATTTTCTATTAGTTTCCTAGTGCTGTTGTCACAAAGCACCACAAACTAAACAGCTTAAAATAATTGAAATGTATTCTCTCACAGTTCTGGAGACTAAAATTCTGAAATCAGGGTGTCAGCTGCGTTGGTTCCTTCTGAAGGCCTTGAGAGAAGGACCTGTTTCTGACATCATTCCTAGCTTTTGGTGATGCCAGCAATCCTTGGTGTTCCTTAGCTTGTAGATGTATCACTCCAATCTCTGTGTCCATCTTTACACGCTGTGTGTGTGTCTATGTCTCTTCTCCTCTTAGAAGGACGGTAGCCATAGTGGATATACATCCACTCTTTCCATATGACCTTGTCTTAGCTAATTACATCTGCAGTGACCCTATTTCCATATAAGGTTATATTCTCAGCTGCTGGGGGGTAAGACTTCAACATATCTATTGTGGGACACAATTCAACCCATAATATATTCCTTCTAGGGTATATATTGAGTCAGTTCAACATAAACTTTCTATATCAACAATGCCATTTTTTGAGAATGTTCAAATTGATAAAATGCCTAAGGAGTAGCCAGATCCTCAGGTAGAAATTTATTTCCGTTCATATCTAGATGGAGAATTCGTTTTTAAAACATTCCAAATTTTGAAACAAAAGAAATTTTCCAGTCCTGAAAAAACATCAGTTGATGTTAATTAGACCTAAGTGCCATCCTCTGACTATTTCATTTAATCAGAGCTCCAAGGTAGGTCTCCAGGCCAGTCTTGTCATATGAAAGCAGAGATGCTCAGCAGTCCACACCTGCTCTTCAGAGTGTTATCAGCACACTTTGAGGGATCAAGTTTTAAATCCCCATCTGGAATTCAACTTGGGCCAGCCAATCATTGTTACTAACTAAAGAAAAAGGATTTTTTAAAAGCTGTATTCTCTAATTGATTCTCAAATTTTTCAGAAGGTGACTCTTCTTAAAATATACTGAAATACAGACTCCTGCTTGAAGTAAGCTTATTTAGGGCACAAAATGAACTGATAGAAACATGAGATTTTGTCATAACCTAGTGTTACTTGTCTTATTATTTTAAGGGACTATAGCAAGTGCCTTAAGTATGTAACAAAAGTAAAATCCCAGGTTAAGTTTACTCATTAGTGAATCTCCTGTTAAAAAGAAAGCAGTGTTTCATTCTGGTTAAATACTGGTCATATTTACATGTTTTCCTAATTCATAATGCCACTGATTTTCACATCTTTAAAGTGCAATCATTAAAGCATTATTCATCCTAGTTTGACAGAATGTACCGAATTTTTCCTCATTGGCAGTCTGACGTGCCGGAAGGAGTCATAAGGGTCCATGCTCCACTTCTCTCTAAGGTGTCCATGGCCATTCAACTCAATAGTCACACCAAAGCCAAAGACATACTGGCAAAATTTCAATATGAGAACAGGTGAGTAAAAGTGAGTATAGGTCTATGTACAAGGAAGATGATCTTTTATCAGATAAGTAACTCCCAGGCATTTACAAACTTGGCCTTTTTGAAAAATTAGAACCTGTTATTTGGGGGACTTTACCAATAGAGTAAGTGAAAAGTAGAGAAAGAAATTAAGTAGACCATAGAATTGTTGATAACAGAAATGTTTGGT